TGGGAATATGAACTTACACAGGGCTTCTGAGGAGAAGAAAAGTTCCTTTAAAAGTTGTTCTTTACGATGAGAATAATAAAAATTATACATAGTCGAAATGGTCATATCACATGATTTATTATTAATTCAAAATGATTTATCTTGAAGAACCAGTGATCTAAATTTAATGAAACACGTCTCATTAGAATAGTCTCATAAAGAGGATTCTCGAATAATGGTGTTTTAATGTTCATAGCATCAATAAATGGCGAGTTATTGTAAGATATACGGCAAACCAAAATATCTCAATAATCGATGGTTCGGATTTTATGAACCACATCTCATCGAGAGAATTCGAACGGTAGTTGTTTTATCCAAAACAGCCGATATTGACCAAGTTATGACAATTTGAAGCCTTTAATTGTATGTTCAGCTTGTTGTACGATGTAATTTCGACCATTTCGACTTTTAATTCGACTTTTGGCCTTTCAGGTTGAAACATTTTGACTTTCGGGTTTTTTAATTTCGACTTCATGTAAAATAAAGATGATAATGAATCAAGTAACAAAAAATTTTTATTTAATAAAAATTTAGAGAAAGCTATAAATGTTGTTTCTATAAATTTTCTAAATAAAACTACTCTTTTAGCATACACAATGACATAAGTGTATTCGTTTATGAACTATGTGAACTTCCATATTGAAGTGGCTTACTTCTTTGTTGAAAATGAGTCATAGTGAAATAACACCACATAAAATAATGTTTGAAATTTGTGATGTAGTCGCCATTTTGAAAATAAGAAATTTTACAATGTTATCTTAGCCCTGCCGATCTTATATAAAAAAAATTTCCTGAAAATGATTTGCGAATTAATAGAATAGTTTGTTTGATAGTGGGTTAAAACTTAACATATGACTAGATAGTTTAGTCAGTTTAGCCAAGTACTACTCTCAAGCTGTGATAATTACCTGTTTATTATAGAATTCCTCATCAAATATTTTTTGCATTTTATCATCATACTTTTCGGGATTAAAATCCTCTTCAAGATCAACTTCATCAAAACCAACATCTTTGGAAATTGGATGAAAATAATTTAGCGAATCAACAAATATGACCAAACAAATTAATCAGATAAAAGAGCTTACTTTCATTCCCTGTTATCTCCTTTATTTTTTGTAATTTTTCATGGATTTCCTTTTTCTTGAGATTTTTGAATCTTTTTAATTCTTCCATTTTTTTCTTCTTTTCTTCAGCTTTACGTTCTTCACGATCATAACGTTGAATTTTGCGTTTGTTATCGATTCTATAAAATTAGAAGATTTAATTGTTAGAACTATTAAAGATTTTCGATTTAATTAATTCACACAATTTACCATCCATACCTTCTCATTGAGCCTTCAACATTTCGAGAATATGTTGTTATCTTTGTACTTCCTCTAATTTATTCAGGGAAGAAAGTTATAGTAGTAATAATAATATTTATAAGTTTATATATATATATTTATTTATTTATTTATTTATTTATTTATTTATTTATTTTTTTAGGCAATAAAGTCCATGATTAGCCAACGCAA